AGGGGAAAAAATAGTCTATGTATTGCATTAGAAGAAGCTGAGGAGGCTCATTAGCAAAATGAAAATCTGATGGAGTCTTATTCTGAACAGGGAATACAGAACAAAATGTTGGAAACCTGTTCAACAACTCAGCATTGTACATACTATGCACTGAATGAGGCAGGGATCCTTTTTTTTTTTTAAGCATTTTTGTATTTCAAGGTAGTATTGTAATGTATTTATACAAGGATTGAATTAAAACTTGCACATAATAGGGCGCTTCTGATCTCCCTGTTCCTCTGATCATCTGTATTTAATCAGATATTTTGAGAAACCTCAAACACCTTCCCTATGAAATTTGGAAAATACATTTGGAAAATATTTGCTTAAAAGCTGTTATCTATGTTGGCTTTTGGATCATTGTCCCCTGCTGCTCCCTCCCTCCCTGCCCCCTACCCAGCCCATAACACTTGTATGTTACTTTGGGAACAAATGTGTAACTTGATGTCCTGCTCTGTTGGATCTGTGTGATTTGATGACAGTCCAAAAAAATCCAGAGCCTGCCTGTGTCGCAAAAATGCAAAATGTATTTTGTTAGGTTTTTTAGCCTGTCAGAAAAGCCTTTGTTTATTACAGATCATCAGTGCCATGTTTTGTTGAGTTACCCATTTTGTATGCATAGCTTTACAGCATTATACTCCAGCTTATTTTGTGTTTTGGTTAAGAAAACTGCTACTGTTGAACTGACTTCAAATTTATGAACAGAAGGAGGAGGAGGAGATGTGTTAATCCTTTAATTATTCTAAACCGGTATCTCGCTTTCTGACCCTTATTAATCTCAACTGATAAAATGGTCAAAAAGATGAATTTTTCTAAGCGCAAACAAAAGGAGTAAGGCAAGGATTGTTTCCATCCATGTGAGTCTCCTTTATTTATGGTGTACCTCCCTAATAGATTCAGCTGCTATCTCTTATCCTGTATTCAGAAGTAGGGAATATTACTACTGTTCAGCTGTTCCAGCTGCTGCTTTGTCAACATGCAGTGACATTAAGGTTTCTTATTATCTCAGTAGATGAAGGAATGGAGATGAGCTGCGTGGTGTTAGCAAAGGAAATGGGGCACCCAAGACATAAACCCCCCTGTTAGTGCTTTGTTGCAGCATGTGGACATGGACTGTAGGCTGCCTCCCACCCCACAGGTACTTACTTATTGGGAAGTACAGGTCTTTAACGTAACAGCAGTAAGATGAGTAATGTTAAAGTCAAATGAGAAATTCTGGGTTCATTTGAGTTGCATGCCCTTTACTGTAACAGAGCTTTAGGTGTTTTTATGACTCTGCTCCAGAAATGCGGCTATTGGGCAAAGCTAGCGTGAAACAAAAGGGTCATTTTAAAATGTAACCTCCAAGTTATCAAAGGTCTTGGCCTTGTAAAGGGAAGAATGATTTTTTTTTTTCTGTTATGTTTTCTTTTTTGACAAATGGATATTTGTGTGGCATTTGTTTCAATGGAAAGGTTGCTGTAAACTCGAACTCAGACTATGCTGTAGTAAGCAGACTTCTGCCTGTGCATGGTTGACTTGTGAAGTCTTCCATGACACTTTTCTTCCTGAATATCTATAGCTTCCCCTGATGTGATGAAAAGCAGTGGAGATTTGAAATGATGAAGTGGAATAACGTAACTGTTTTGTTGACTGAAACTATAGGTCTCTATCAGAAAAGGCACCCTGTTTGTCTAGAAATAAACTAACAGAAGTTGCACTTCAGTTTGCTTGATACCTTTTTTGCAGCTACAGTCACTTCTGAATGTAGTTTGAGTAATACTGTAAATCAGGTTTTAATGGTTAGACTGCCAAGGCTAGTAGGCTAATTTTAATAGTTTATCGTAACCAATGAAGAAGATTCAGCTTTGACAGTTTTTCTTTTTAAAATAAATTCTAACATTGTATAATATGTAGGTAGTAAATAGGTAGTAATGCACAAGTGTAATGGATCTGTGCATTTGCTCTCGCTCTGATACGGAAGGAACATTTAGCATTTATACTGTTCTAGTATGTGTTTCTTAATGAGAGTTGCAGAGAACATAAATAATTTTACGCCATCTCCCAGGTACTACTTTGTCTTATTTATGAATTTTCTCCATTGTTGTCTGCTTTCCTTCTTGCATGAGGGTACCAACTGTGATTGCTGGTTATAAATAGGGGTGAAGAATCCCGGGAGCTAGTGGCAGAGCAGGAAATTGCTCAAGGCATGGAGCCTGCTTTGCATGTAAACAAGAAGACTGCGTTCAGCTGTTCTCACTAAACGGGTCTGCAACCCTATTGAACCTTCCCAGTCTTTCTCCTGGTCATGTGCCTGCAGAGTGTAGCCTGATGCCATGACAGAGTTAATTTTCTCTTGTATGACAGAATCACAGAATGGCAGGGGTTGGAAGGGACCTCTGGAGATCATCTAGTCCAACCCCCCTGCTAAAGCAGGTCACACAGAAATGCGTCCAGATGGGTTTTGACTATCTCCAGAGAAGGAGACTCCACAAGCTTCCTGGCCAGCCTGTTCCAGTGCTCTGCTCACCCTTAATGTAAAGGGTTTCCTCATGTTGAGGCGGAACTTCCTGTGCTCCAGTTTGTGCCCATTGCCTCTTGTCCTGTCACTGGGCACCACTGAGAAGAGCCTGGCCCCATCCTCTTGACACTCCCCCTTTAGATATTTATAAGGTGCCCTCTGAGCCTTCTCTTCTCCAGGCTAAAGAGCTCCAGGTCTCTCAGCCTTTCCTCAGAAGAGAGGTGCTCCAGTCCCCTAACCATCTTCATAGCCCTCCGCTGGACTCTCTCCAGTAGCTCCCTGTCTCTCTTGAACTGGGGGGCCCAGAACTGGACACAGTACTCTAGATGTGGCCTCACCAGGGCAGAGCAGATGGGGAGGATGACTTCCTCCAACCTGCTGGACACATTCTTCTTAATGCACCCCAGGAGATCATTTGCCTTCTTGGCCACAAGGACACATGGCTGGCTCATGGGTAACTTGCTGGCCTCCAGGACTCCCAGGTCCTTCTCCACAGAGCTGCTTTCCAGCAGGTCAACCCACTACCTGTGCTGGTGCATGGGGTTACTCTTCCTCAGATGCGGGACCCTACATTTGCCTTTGTTGAACTTCATTAAGTTCCTCTCTACCCAGCTCTCCAGCATGTCCAGGTCTCACTGAAGGGCAGTATTCCAGAGCAAGTATTCCAATGGCAGTATTCCAGAGCAAGAAGATACCAAAGATCACTAGTATTCAATTTTATTGAGCTGACATCCTCTGAAGGGCATATCTAGATTATTCTGGCACTGCAGCATTAATATCAGGTGTTTTGTTTCAAGGCATTTTAAAATATGTCATGGTTTATCTTCAGTAGTTGTCAGCGAAGTAGACCTAACACCAGGTTGCCAGCTACCTTGCTTTAAAAGACCAAGATTAGGAGCCTCTGTGCTTTTACCATGCTGAACTGGTGAACTGTATTGGTGAATTCAGTTATGCAAATAGTAATACAGCAGACTTTTGGTTCTTCATGGCTCTTAATACTTCCTCTTGTCTTTTGAAGTGGTGGGATGGGGTTGTACCTGATTGATTTACCTCCTGCTCCACCTCCTATACACACTAACAGGGGTGGTTTATGATTAGTATTTTGCTTCCTCCATATAATATATAGCAGGACAAAAGGACCTAAATTAAGAACAGTGAACTCTGAGTGTCTTAGGTGATGGCCTGTGGTTTAGCTGCTCTACACTGATCTTTGTTACAAGTTTAATGCTTACTGTATGAGTAGTCTTTTTTGTGTTTGTTAAATAGCAGATGGATTTAGCACTCTTTCTTCCTTTTTCAGCTGCTATGCAAGAAAACAAGTTGGTTCATTAGAATTTGGCCGTGTGTGTGTGTGTGTACATTCTGGCAAGCTGACTTCTCGTTATTGCTCCAAGGCTTTCACTAGCTTCTGAATTGAAATGTCTTTTTCAGGAGCTAGAACCTGTAATAAGTTGTTGTTGGGCAGAAGCTATTTGTACTTCAGAGTAGTGGCTTTGAAATCTCTTTGGGGGTGGCTTTTGAAAAGGAAAGGTAGACACACCCACTTGAATGTGGTTTCTGCATTGCCACCAGTGCTCTGCAGGGGCTGCACTGTCTTCTGTGTCCGAGTTAAGAGGGGGAAGAATTATGTACTAAGTAGTAGATCGTCAGGGAGTGGTTGTGCTGGAGATTGGTTATTGCTGCTTCTAAAGCACTGAATGCTTTTCCTATTAAAGAATTCTTTTATATATATGTGTGTGTGTGTATATACACACACACACACATATATATATATATCTCTATATCTCAAAGAGCCTTGAGTTTAATAGCTTTGTTTGTGGAATTACAGAGGCTAATGTCAGATAAGACCAGATTCTGTTATGCTTAATGTATGTATGTGTTAACTTGGAATGTGATCTCTGTCTTTGCAGAGCTGCTATTTCTAGTAGGTTAGTTCTGCTTTCTCATTTTGTCTTGTCTTATAGGTATTTTTAGTCAGAGAAGGGCAAGTTATTTCTGACCCAATTCCACACTTAAAGCTTAAGAAAATAAGTCACTAAATCATGACAGATGAAATAATGCTCTACATACTTTGTTTCTAGATTTCTCCCCAAACTTTACACAGGGAATATTAGCCCAGTTAATTTTTCTTCAAATAAGATGGGTGGAGATTGAGAGCCATAGGGAGGGAGAGTACATGTTTGTCTAGGTTAAAGCATCATGTGGTAGCATTATATTTGTTTTCACAAAAATTTGACTAGTATAATTGTTTACATGAAAAAGCAGTTTTTTGAAAACATTTTACTGCACTGTATTTCATTACTGTTACTGGACATGAGATACAGCTATAAATATTGCAGAAAATGTAAACAGTTATGTAAGTACTTCGAGCTTTCAAAAGTAGGGAGCAGCAATGCTTTGGACTATTGTTAAAAACAATTCTCTCTCTTTGCTTCTCCTACCCTTTCCCTTCTTTTCGTAGGTGCATTTTACCTGGTATTTGAGTATATGGACCATGACTTGATGGGACTGCTGGAATCTGGTTTGGTTCATTTTAATGAAAATCATATTAAGTCTTTCATGAGACAACTGATGGAGGGCTTGGCCTATTGCCATAAGAAGAACTTTTTGCACAGAGATATCAAATGTTCAAATATTCTACTAAATAATAGGTATGGATATTACTTAAAGTATGCAAAAGCATTGTATGCTAACAACATCTTTAAAACTTTCTTTTAATCTTCACAGTTCACCTGCTTTAAGTCATGTGCAAAACATATATTTTTTTTAGATTGCCTAGTTTCCTTAAAATGAATTGTAAAATACTAAACTGGTAATGTTACTGCTTAACACTAGATCCTGCAACTGCTTGTTAAATTTATCCGTGTTAAAACAGCAGGATTAAAACTTGATTTTTTTCAGGTCAGAGTATAGGGGAAAATTAACTGAATTAATTAAAATATATTAAAACAGTTTTTAGGACAAAGTGTTTGACGTGTGTTCTTTTTGCCATCTCATTTCAATATGAAGTGTGGCTAGGCTGGTTCTTTGTGACATAATTCCGAGGTCCTCATCTTTGTCAGTCAGGATAATAAGAATACTTGATTAGGTGTGTTCAAACATGCTTTGGCTTGCAGTTACAGCCATAATCGAATGGGCAGCAGAATTTGTTTCTTCCTTCTTTAACCACTTGTAATTACAAATCATATTAGTAAACATGTTCAGTGTGCAACAGCAGCAAATAAAAAACCTGCGTGAAGATAGCAGATAGCTTCAGTACAGAACTGTTCCCCATCAAATCCAGCAGTACTAAAACCAGGGAGCAGCTTAAGAGCAAGGTTTGTAACAGTAAAAAAGAGTATTTTTATAGAGCAGGTAGTCAGCTTCTGGGATTTGTTGTCACAGGATCATTAACACCAGCTGAAGGGAATAGGAAGGAATAGCTGTTTTAGCATCCCTAACACAATGATTGTAGGTGATGGTTATGTACAAGGAAGATGAGCCCCAAAGTGAGCAGGTTCTCCCTAAAAATCTACTGCTGCTGTTGGAGATGAAACACTGGGCAAATTGTATCAAGGGTCTCTTCGTGAGGCCCTAGTTTTGTCTCAGCTTTCTCCAAATTAAATTTTCCATTCCGCCCCCCCCTTTTTTTTCTTACAACAAACTAACATTAGACTATTTTCAGCTCTGGATCCCACCGCAGTCTTGCCAGATTGCAATACAGGCTCTTAAACAGATGTACACTTGCCTCCTCATCACTCACTGTGCCCTCACCCCTCATCTTGCTTGCCTGCTGATCACCAGTGGCGGTGCTGCCTCTGTGCACCTTTGGGAATTCTGACGCTGAGGTGTAACCTGACAGTAGAGAAAAGTGCATTATGGTAGAGGTGGACCTTACTGTTGTACTGTGCTCTCTCCACTCCCAGATACAGGGTTTTCCCCCCTAGGATGTTTTTTGAGCATCCTTAAATGTCTCCACTGGAAGAAGGAAAAGTTGATAGTTGATCTGAATAATTTTAAGCCAATGTTTCTAAAATTCCATTACTAGTTACAGCCTGAAGCCAAACACATGGATTATATATCTTTTAGATAGGCAACTTAAATGTCTGTCCTCAAAAATTCATTGAGCTTCAACAAATAGGCTCTCTGAGGAAAGAGCATGTAAATTTGAGGGGAACATTTCCTTGTTTATGGGGGTTCTCCAAGCACACATCTGAGGGGAAGAACGGGATGGAAGCTATCACCTATGTATTTTATTATCACAAAATGGTCGTTCTTACACACATCAGCAAGTCTTGACCTAATTTGAGAAAACAAAATTTATTTGAAAGTGACATTTGCATCTATTTGAAAGTGATGGGAGTTTTAAAAGCTCATAAGTATACAAAAACAAAAACCCCATGTAACATTCCAACACTCGTTGAAGTTTGCAGATAGCTTTCTGTTTAAGTCATCCAGACTTTACAGATGGTGTGGGCTTCTGATCATTGAGCAGTGCCTTTTAGCCATGGAAACTGCCAGGCAAGAGCTCTGTCTCTTCTACTCTTCCCCTCATATATGGGAAAACGCAGGAAGGGGTTAGGGATTGTGTCATTCAGCAAGCTGGCTGCTGGCAAAATCAGAAGCCCTTATCTGGTCGGTCACCCTGATTTAAAGGCTCTATTTAAACTTTATGAGAGCAGAACAGGACTTTGATGGCTTCCTAGAAGGAAGTGTGACTGCTGATGGTTGGTTGTTGTACAAACGCTTACGCTAGCAGTAAGGCATGAGAAAAAAGCGATTTCTTCCCTCAGCTTTTTCCTGCAGTTACTGATTTGAATACTTTACAGTATACACCTAATTTTTACTAACATCCACTATGTAAATGCAATTTGATGAGCATCTCTAATTTTGCTTACCTGTCTTTGCTATTCAGTAAATTAGTGTATTTGTTTACTGAAGAGATGCATAGATTGTAGGCATTGCCTCCTCATTAATGTGTTTTGGTGAAGATCAGTTGCTGCTGTCTCAATCTCAAACTTCACCCGATTTTTGGGGAGGAAATCTTAACAGGATTAACCACTAAAGAATTCTTTGCTTTTTCCACCAGAGGGCAGATAAAGCTTGCAGATTTTGGGCTTGCTCGGCTGTACAACTCTGAAGAAAGGTAAGATATAATTATACTGTGAAAAAGCATTCAGAAGTTTAATATTTTGATATAACTCTAAGTGTTATGAGGGCCATAAGACTGTTTTGTCTAGGAGGAGATGTTGTTGTACTGTATAATATAGGTAGTTGCTTAGGAAATGGAAAGAAGTGCATGTTATCTTATGCTGCATAAAACCCCAAAACTCTCTTTGTGCAAGTGTATTGCTTTTCCAAGTGTTCTGGATAAATAACTGTAGAGAGGGCCCATATATTGATTTGAAATGGGAGAGTTGCAGTCCCAAGTAGGTTGCATCGATATGTAGAGTTTTACTATTACTTTCTCATCCTGTAAGCCTGAAGTATATTCTTTCTGTTGGTATACCTAGGAAAAGTTTATTTAGGGAAAGCAAAAATTTTTTGGTGACAAAAATTAGTATAGTTTCTTTTCAATAAGCATTACTTTGTGTAATATTTAACCTTACATTTGAAGAGGTTCACTGTATTCTTTAGGCAGTCAGTGCTGTTGAATCTGCTGGAAACAGAGATACAAGTTTAAATAAAAGTTATTCTGAAACTTCTTGTGACTTGTGCTTCTGTTGTTCTTGGCTTTGTTATGCTTGTACTCCAGGAAACAGGTGCACAGTTTTTATGATTAAGAACTTCAATATTTATCTTGTTAATGTCATATGTTTGTTATGTGCAATTGGATTTTCAAAATTCAGACTGAATGTTCATTACAGTAGTATGTACATCGGGTGGCTGGATACAGAGAATATTGGCTACCTTTGATTTCTGCATGCCTCATTTTGGAAATAATATCCGTAATGGTAGCTTCATGAGTTTAATGTTTTCTCACAGAGCTCTGAGCTTGTTGGTGAACCTGATGGTGTTAGTTTCGCTGTCTTCTGAGCTGTTATTTCAGGACCATATGCCTAAGTACAGTTATGAAAACTGTTGAGTATAGTAGCAGGGTAAGATAATCTTAAGCAGCTGCTGGGTAATTAATTTTTGTTTTGAATGTAATTAGAATAAAAGGGATTGATGCCATCCTACCTTATTTTAATGTGCACCAAATTGACCTAGCTTTTTTTTTTTTTCCTCTGGTTTACCATGGGTTTTTTTAATGTCTGTTCTTAAATTAATTTAAAATTTGCTTGTAAAACCACCTGTTCATTAAGAATAGTGCAAACAACAGATTTTACTATACATCAAACAGCAACATTATTATGCCATTATACATAAATGAAACCAAGATTAAAATGTAATTATGCTAGCTAATAGAATTGCCAGTTGAACTTGGGAGGATAGTTAGAATCTCATTAGTAGATTTTTGACAGTTCTTTTGTCATTTATTTTCCTTCTGAGTAGATTCTGACCTGCAGTAACAGACATAATTAATGTATACCAACAAGTGTATAATAGTTGTTGCTTTAAATTCATGTATTTTACATTTGTTTTACTGTTGTTTAGAATTATATACTTTTCAAAACAATATAGAATTCAGTAACAGCATAATGGGGAGGAAAAAAAAATTAATTTTAAGCAAATTGCTATCTGTTGTTGTAGTTGTGCTCCTTTAAATGTTATTCTGGTGGATTTAATATGATTGTGGTAGAAGATACAACAGATTGTGTAGGAAAACATCTGTTCAAATAAAAAGCATCATATACTAATATATGTGAGTAATGTATCTGTACAGAAAGTACATACCATGTAAACATTTCATAGAGGAATGATTGCTTCAGAGATAAATATGATAAATGATGGGATTGTTCCCAAAAACATGCTACATTTTAAAAATGAAATGGGGAGTTTCTTAATGAAAAAAAGATTTGGGTGATTTTGCAGAAATGATACCTGTACCCACTGAGTATGTTACAAGAGCTTGTTAGACTTTATGCTACAGTTGTTCAAGCTCCGCACTTAATGTTACTCTGCTTCCTATTTGGAGTTACCCAGTGTTGGTATGAGTGAATTATTAAAACTGAAGGAATTTTGGGATCGCTTTTTAAGACACCTTGGTTAAAACAAAACCTGACATCTGTTTTCTGCCTTCCATTCTGACCTGCGGTATCTTGGCCTGACCACAAAAAAATGTGTCTCAGGTAGTGGAAATCCTTGCCTTAGTGTGAGGGTGGAAAGGATTATTCCCAGTGACCAAAACTTCTGGTTAGAGTCGCAGAGAATTAAAATGTTGTGAAATATAGGAAGATACTACAATCATTCCAGGCTTCGGAATTGTTGAAGGATGTAGTTCAAGAAAAAGGCTTTGTCTCTTTTGCTCCTACTTTTTTTTTTTTGTCTTTTCGAAATGCTGGTAGAGGCCCGATGTTCAGTATTCTAATAATCAATAGCTGCCCAGAAATTACTGGTTTTATCCAAGCAGGTCTTTCTCCTGAAATGACTAGCGATAATACACAGTACTACTATCTGAGTAATAATTGAGAAACAGGATTCACATAGCATTGAGATGGCTATGTGATTGTTATTTATATCCTTGGTCTGTCCCAATAGCCTTGGTCAGATGGTTGCATTTTCTTTTGTGCAGTTGCAGCTTTGCAGGACTAAAATTAGGAAAGGGGAGTGGAAGATTGTACTGTTCTGAAACGGCAGCACAGAAGCGAAGTCCTCAAAGTATCACTTTTTCAGAAATGAGATCGTAGTAAAATGATAGTCCTCTCTTTTTGCTCCCCCCAACAGCCGACCATATACCAACAAAGTTATTACATTATGGTATCGGCCTCCTGAACTTCTGCTTGGAGAAGAAAGATACACGCCAGCTATCGATGTCTGGAGCTGTGGGTAAGAGTTTGGTACAGAAGTGTAGCGAGTGTAAAACAAGGCAAAAATAAATCTTAAATGTTTCTATCTGTCTGTATTTAAAGCCGTAATGATGGAATTGTGCAAAACTGTTTTACAGCTGCATCCTGGGTGAACTTTTTACAAAAAAGCCAATATTTCAAGCAAATCAAGAACTTGCTCAACTGGAGCTGATAAGGTAATTTGCAAGCACCAGCATGTCTCATAGGTGCCTCATAAACTGTCAGGTTTCTTTTGTTAGTGTTGAAATCTGAGATAACACACTGCGAACATTTACGAGTATTCAGTTACTGCCCTGAGTGAGATGTTAGACAGGGACATGTAAAGCAGGTGACTTTTTCTCAGACGTTGAGAAGGGGTTTTTGTGAGTATTCTGTGGTCCTAGCAATGTATAGCTGAATAGTAAGAGGGGGTTTTGTAGAGCAGCTGGAGTTGCCTGTTACTGAAGTTGTAAAGAGGGAGTAGTCAAAAGTGTCCTGTATTTTTTAAGATGATAGTACAACTTTCTTGCAGCAAATCAAAATGAAAACATGGACAATAATGAGGACAAGGGGGATTTGGGAAGAGTAGGTAATTGGCATGCTACTGGCCTTGAGTTCTTGTTTCAAGCCTTCCACATACCCACCTGGGCTTTATTATTTTTGTGGGAATATTTCTGTTCCCTTACAAACTGCCAGACACTTTATGGAGGTAAAAATTCTGTTTCTTTCCTTCTCTGAATAAATCATAGAATGATGTGTATATAACTCAGTGGAACCAGAGCATCTTTTTTTTTCCCTTTATTCAGCAAGCAAAAATTGCTCTTGATTCTTATAATCATAATTGACCTTGTAAGTGAGGAGAGGTCCTCTTCCTAGAAACAAGGGGAAAAGAGGGCGAGTCCTACAGCACTTACAGAACCTAACAGTAAACAGTCAATATTATTTAAAAAAAAATTAATAAAAAATGTTACGAAGTTACATATTAAGCTGTTGTTCAAAATAGATTAAAGAGTAGCATGTTTCTTGTAATGTGTTATTAGCTGGCCTGGAAAAATGAAGTTTTTAGGAGGTGCAAAGTGTATCAGTGGGTCATTCTCAGTGTAAGGAGAACTAAACTCATGTATTGGGAAATTTTTGCTTTTGAGCACTAGATGGCATTGAAGCATGTCACAGTGCAGTCATTTGAAGTTTTTTCTCTTTGTGTTGTACCTCTGGTACAGCAAACTAAAATTATATGCTATTTCCTTCTCCTACTGGAAGCTCCTCTTTGTAGCTCATTTCTCCTTTTTGCTAATGCTATGCATTTTTTGGCTGTTTAAATGAAATATATCAGTTTTATCAACATCTCTGCCACTATCGTGTTACAATCAACAAATCTACATTTGTCCTTTCTAACTTTAATGTTCAAAGATAGAGCTGAAGTGAATTCTGATAGGAAAAAAGAGAGATTTGTGATTTTTCTTTTCCCTCCTGAAAGTTGCCTATCTCAACTAGCATACAGTCAGATTGGTTTGTATAGCATTTGGGGCATAACTAATAGATCATTAGGTCTCTTACAGTAACTGTTTAAATCTAATGAATGGGAGCGGTGAACTAGGGAAGTGTTTGCAAGGTGTCCTTTTATGACTGCCTGCATCAGACTTCGAAACCTTGCATGCATGGTAGAATGCCTCTGTAGTTCTTCTGCTCAGAAGTGTGGTGCTGGTCAATCAGAGCTTAGCCATCCTTGGTTGGACCAAGTGGGTGGGGATGGAGGGGAAGGATTAAGCATATGAGCAACTCCATTTGTATGAGACATAAAACTCGTAACTGAAGTGAAAAATACACAGATCTTTTAGTGGTTGGAGCTTGCTTTCTGCCCTCAGGCCTTACTGAGATTTCCCCCCTTATGTCTCCGAAGACATAATATGTCAACTAAATTCTCAGTGAAAAGTGTGTTTTCAGCCGTTTGGTGTATCTTTCTTCACTGGCATTGGGAGCTAGGGACATAAAAGCACTCTCAACCCAGGCTGTCCAGTTCTCCAAGTCTAATACCTGGAGTACTGTCCAGAAATAGTTGGTTAAGTTTTCCAGAACATTTGTGAGGAGGATGCCTGCAGTGGGTGAGGCAGCAAGTGGACTTCTTAAAGTTTAGTGTGTGCAGGGTGATTAACTTCTGTAAACAATTAACCATTATTTAATGGTGTTGGGCATTGGACGGTAGAGAAATTTTAGGTAAAAAAACCTGAACATTAAAATAAATTATTTTAGTATTCACTGTACATGCAAGAGTAAAATGACAGCTGTGTTACTTGTGGTTTTGGATCTGATACCCTTTTTTTTTCCCCCTTCTTTTTGGTACAGCCGAATTTGTGGGAGTCCTTGTCCAGCAGTGTGGCCTGATGTTATAAAATTAGCTTATTTCAACACAATGAAACCAAAGAAGCAGTATCGTCGAAAACTGAGAGAAGAGTTTGCTTTGTAAGGATGAAGAATTAGTTTGGTCAACTTCTAATAGCATTACATTTTCCTGGAGACTTTATGAACTTCACTGTTTTCTGGAGAATGAACATAGATTAAGTGTAAAGAAAAATGGCTTTAGGTTCTTATCCTTCCCATGATACCCACAGAGCTTGTATCAACCTTTATTTAATAGGAACTTCAAGAAGGGGGAAGGTGACCCTAAAATTTCAGCCACCTGTCAGCTTTCACCTAAGGAAACATTTGTTTCCCATGATTGGTACACCTGCTTGTTGTCCCTGTCCAAAAACCAGTTCAGAGTACTTAATTGTTTTTTATTAGGACAACGGGCTACAGCTAAATATGTAGTCTGGTTAATGTTGCAGTCTTTTGGGTCATAAATGCATTCAACACAGAGGAGTGATCTGAACCATATATTCTAAAGTACTACCATTGGACTAGTTTTGTGCAAATATCACACATGGAAGTTATGGAAAACAGCTGTAAGCTTATTTTAAAGGGTTTGTTCCCCTCTGTCAGTTACTGTGGGTTTCAGGAGAAATGTGTTCCAAGCAATTAAAGCACACAAAGCAAAGAAAGCTTGGGTTATGTGCTTACACAGGTGATAAAAGGTGAAGTTTGTCTCTGCCTCTTACTAACAAGCTCAAGTTGTGAGTGGGTTAGGATATACGTTATCTGAGGACTTAAGGATAAGTTATTTTGGAAGGGGTGTATTTATTAAAATTTTGCACATAAGTGTGTGTGATTCAGAATAAAAATGTGATGCTTTTCTCCGTTTTGCTCTTTCATAGCATCCCACCAGCTGCATTAGATTTATTCGATTATATGCTTGCTCTGGATCCCAGCAAGCGCTGCACAGCCGAACAAGCTCTTCAGTGTGAGTTTCTGCGAGATGTGGAACCATCTAAAATGCCTCCTCCGGAGTAAGTAATTTCCTTTTGGTAGTGGTCCTTACCTCCACAAAATGTGAACATGTACTGATTTCATTAAGCTTTCATTTCAGTTAAAGTAGATGGTGGCAGAAGAAACGTTGATACATACAGTTGTTTAATGGTGATTCTGCACTAAAGTGGTTGTGCAGCTGAATGACTCTTACACCATGAATAACCGTGGTTGTGAGGATCTGAGAACTGTTTCATTTGTTATTCCTACTAGTGGTTACTATAGTAGGTACTGTAACCTTTTAAAAAATACTCTTACATAAATATTTCTGATGTTGAAAAAACATCATTTCACTTTTATCTCTGTTTATCAGTGTCTACTTTTTCCAAGGGTTTTGAGGTCCTCCATGCATCTGAATTGCCTTCTTTGATGGTAGAATGACACTGGGTATAGAATTCTGAGAGTTAAAGTGAAATACCATAAATTATTTCCTGTGCAAGATGAGATTCTTGGGTTTACAGGCAGAAGAAGTGAAATACTTTGTCGCAGGGTTTTTCCTGTCGGTTTCTCTGAGAGGCAATGTATTGCCATGTCCGGTAGGGTTTTTGTAGTGACTTAATTGTCATTTTAATCAGTACAAATCATGTTGGAACAGGCCCTGAGGAGAACAGTGAAAAGGTATTACAGAATCTGCAGGTTTTATTCTTCCCTCAAGATAGCTGTCAGAACATTGAACATTTAATATTGTTTGAATAAATTGTACCTTCAAGGCAGCCTGTACTGACTTCTTTTTACTTAGTTACCAACAGGGAAAAATGTTTATCTAAGAATTTTATTAATAACCTTTCAAGACTTGCCTGTTACATACACAAGGTTGTTAGAAATGCTCCTGATACATGAGGCTAAGAGGTTTCATTGCATGAGTATGACTATATATGCCGCTGTCAGAATATCAGTAATCAGCAGTCTTGGGCTATTCACTGAAATCTCAGAACAGCTTGTACAGCACGTTGCTTATACACATTTTAAAGTAAGTGAATGGGAAGAAACTTGGAGTTTCTTCAGGGGCTTGGTGGTGCATCCATTCTATGAAACTGATATATGGAAATTCAAAGCTGTTGAATTAGGAGGAACCACACTCCTGACAGCACACATAGGAAAGTGTTGACTGTCCTCTTGAAACACTAGTGTTCTGCTTTGGGAAGAAACAGCTGTTTGTTCAAAGAAAGTGATAGTGCTGATTGCAAGGACTGTAGGATACTTCTCACAATGAGTTCTTGCTTGTTTCCAGTTGGTTTTGACTAAATACTTGGCAGGTCTTTGACCTGGTATGCAGAGGGAAAGAATAAAGGAAGCATTTGTCAATAATTGCCTTTCCAGTGGCTCTTGTCATCCGTCACCTAATTTTTCCATGTTCCTGGGTGAGGGAACTGCTCAGACACTTAGTAATATGTAATGGGGAAATAGAAGGCACTGCTTTTACTGCCTGTCTCAGTATTTCCACTGTCTATGGGATGGATCTCTGTGTTCCTCAGAAATCAGAATTGAGATGCCTGCAGGAAACTGTAACAGAAGGACAGAACTGGTGGCAGATGAGTTCCTTAGGAGACTTCTGCCTCTGCTTTTATCTGTCTTGAAGGACTGGGTTATACCTTGTTCCTCCTAGTATCCTAAATTTGCTAGTGTCAAGTGCTATTCATTCGTGCTATTTATTTGTGCAACTTTCTTTTTCTTTTCTCTGCCCTCCCCCCCCCCGTTTGTCTGTGCTGTACAGCTATAAATACTAGATAGCCACATCTGTTACTGTGGACGAATACTTGAACTCATGAGGCCGTAGTACTTTCACAAGCAGACAAAAGGAATTGGTCACTCGGACCCTGAAAAAACCACTTTCATATCGATAACTCTGTTATCTGTTACTCTGTGAGTTCTGTTTTCTAGCAAGTGTGCAGTGCTGATTTTGAAGTCTCGAATTACTCAAATAATTAGGCTTTTCATAAATGGGACTGCAAGAAAGTAACTTTGATTCTCATTTTAAGATACATGTTCCCTTTTTCTGCTGGCTTTGGGTGTTTTCTGCTGTTTTTCCGAGTTCCAGTGGGTTCATCTTTCAAAAGTTACGTTATGTACAATTTGAGGATATATTTTGCCAATGTGGTTAACAAAAAAAAAAAAATTCTGGGATAAAATTGTTGGTCTCTAATCATTCTTTGCAGCCTTCCTTTGTGGCAGGATTGCCATGAGCTGTGGAGTAAGAAGCGCAGAAGACAGAAGCAGATGGGCATGACTGATGACTCAACAGCAACGAAAGTCCCTAGGAAGGATCTGTCTCTGGGCATGGATGAGAGCAGAACCAACACCCCACAAGGCATGCAAACTTCTTCCCAACTCAAAACTCAGGGCAGCTCTAGTGTAGCACTTGGTCAGTAATATTTTCAGTTCTTATAATTACCTTCTACTTGGATTACACCTCTAGAAATTTTAGATGTTATTTTCAGAGTACTGACGTCTCCTGGATTCTTGCGGGAGGAACAGTGTTGTAAGTTAAATCTGTTACAAAAGATTCACCTTAGCTTTTGGAAACTGGGTGTTCCTTTTAAGTTTTACTTCATTTTTCAATCTAGTCAGAGCAACTACCTTGCTTTGTGTTTTGAGGGGATTTTCTCTCTCGCATATCTGTAGTTCTTCAGTACTCCCAAAAGCCAGCTGCTGCTCTAAGTTCTCACAGTCTCCATAGATTGGAGGAGCTTTATTGGTATTGATAAACTGATCAGAAGGCAGATTTTAGAACAATCGTCATTTCAAATGAAACATTCCCTCTGCGTGTTATGTTAATCTTCAGCTTTCCAAGTTGTTGGGGCTGAACCAAGTTGTTAAAAAAAAAATAAACACCAACACCCACCCCACCCTGCCCCCCACCAAAACCTAGTATAACAAGAAGTAGCTGTAGATTGCACAGCCAATAATTCTAAAACTTAACCAAAGTGTGTTGCTTGGAGACCAACGTTAGGAAAATAATACAGAGAGTAAAGTAAAGATTTCCTATGTGGACACCATTTGAGATGCTCAGCAGTTACGTGATAGTTCCTTCATAATATGAGGAATATACAGAGTAACAATACCAAATGGGTACCTGATAAGTTTAATTTAGACCATTATTGATTGTGCAAAGTGACCGTAAATCTTATGGCACTGATACAGGAGTTCAGCTGAAGAAAAACAGTAAATGCATTCACAGGGCCTGAACATTCTTTAATACTAACCATCTTGAATCAACTCTTCATTTAACAATAGAGCAGAGCTCCAAATACTCTTTGCAAAGTTATGTAGAAAATAGTTCTTTTGATCATATTTTATTGCCCTTTATTGCCTCTTGCTCCTGTTCATCCTGTTTCTCACTGTAAGCCAGCTGTGAGCTTCTGCCACTCCGTATGTTGAGGCTAAAGCTTTGGCAGCATTTTCAAGCGTGACTTTCTGTAGCCCTGAAAATTTTTCCCCCAGAAATGAAAACTGTGTAGAAGTTTAAAGAGACCAAAGGGCAGTAGTTATTTTCTTTATGCTTTTGTAACAGGTAGCCCAGTGAGAGACTACTGTGTTTATTAATCATTAATACTGTTCATGCAAAGTAAACTAAACAAATAGGAAGGGAATCTTTCAAACCATTATTGCTATTTGCCCATATGTACATAGAAAAATACATCTGGGTAGAAAAGAAGACAATTTAATTTTCAGTGGAGCTTAGATAGTTTAGCATAGAAGTGTTTTCTGTATTAAGAAAAACACTTCTGGAAGCCATAAGGCACCTTAGATAGTATCATCAATAAGGCATGCTAAAGAACTGCTTGGATTACATGCATGCTTTAAACAAAACTGTTGCATTTGTTTCTGAGCACCCCAGAAGATGATGTTAAAAACACCTTGGATCAACTGCTAATGTTCTGATTCATGAATGGGACCCCTGGTTACTTCATCTTGCAATTTATCAGGAGCAATATACAGAGCTCAATAATTCTGTTCTGGTAGAAAGTGCTAGATTTCCCAGAATACAGTTTGCTCTTGGAATGGACTTGAAACTAACCAAAGAGATGGAGTAGGTAGATTAGTTTCCATGTTTGGCATTCTTCTGCTGAATTTTCACTGAGAGTCTGAGAGAAGTTTGAGTGTTGAGTGTACCATCCTCAGATGTTACAAAATCAGCTGTTAAGCATGACATCTGAGTGAGTGCCAGCAGTACAAGGCATTAGAAATGATGGGGGGGGTTCTGTATTGCCAAATAACAGGCGGTTTTATTTTTATATTTATATAAATATATAAAATCGTTGAAGTCCCTGGATCCTCCCTGAGTAGGTTCCAAGTGCTTGTATCCTGGTGCATATCCACAAGTAGGATAGTGGGTTGTGGGTTTTGCAGCGCTTTCCAGCTGTGCTACTTTTAGTCTTGCAAGGCACATACTTAAAACCTTTGTGTGTGTGACCATATTTCAGGCATGGCTTTGAATCTGCTATGAATTGGTGAATTAGCAGAATGACAGGGATAGGAGAGGATAGAATGTGTCAGGTTGATCTAGGTTAAACACATTCAGGGCTCTGCCAGCACAGTCACACATGCTCATTTTTTAATTATTAACTACTTTCTTCTCTGAGTCATCTGCTCGTAGGGCGCGTTGAAATCCATGCTGCTTCCCTTCTTTGAAAATAAACTGACACAATGGGTGTTGAAACTAAGAAACTACTTTGATATTCTGACTTCCTTATTCATGTTGCCGTGCATCATCATAATCTCACTTAGTTGTGGCAAGCTCCATTTCATTGAAGAAGTTGTATATTGTCACAAACCTGCGTTTTCTTGCTACTCAGTGGTTGATCTCCTGTCCTTCAAACTCAGTGCTCGCTTTTGCATTTATACCGCTAGCTTCTGGGCCACCTAGAGCCTGGTCACTTGAGCAGGTGTTAGAATCCAGATGCTGAATTAGATTGGGCCAGAATGTGACTGGAAATGCATTTTGCAGATGGCCGCTTTTTAACAGAGGGGTGCAATATCTCAAAGATAGGAAATTTTGCAGGGATTGGAAATCTTAGAGCTGCTAAAGCAGGTGGCCTTAAGCCCCAGCTTAGTTGTATTGTGGAAAAATGAGCTCCAGCTTGATGTTTCTCATCTGTCCAAGTGTATGTGTGCACCCTTTGGAAGTCGCTTTCTTTATATTGGATCTTACTATTCCATTTCCTATGGCTTCTCCCCGACAGGCAGTTAAAGTGTAAAAGCATTCCATTTTTATCTTGTCCAAACCCATGCTTTGCCAGTTGTGTCAGCCATGCTAGATTAGTCTTTTTTTTTTTTTTTTTTTTTTATGAAATATGCCAGTTCTAAATAATACTTAAAAACACCTTTTTTGTCTTTAGCAAAAACAAGCACTGGACAGCAGTTAAACCAGAATGAAGTGGCAATCCTGCTAAACCTGCTACAGTCTAAAACAAGTGTTAGTTTGGCACAGTTTGCCCAAGTGTTGAATATTAAGGTAAACCCAGAGACTCAGCAGCAACTAAATAAAATAAATCTTCCTGCTGGAATTTTGTCAGCAGGTGAAAAACAGTCAGAACAGCAGCAGCAGCCGCCGCCCCCTCCACCCCCACTGCCGGAACAGGAGCCTCTAAAACAGCCGACGATCACCCAGCCTCCTGTACCACCTGCTCAGCTGAGTCAGCCGAAAGTTGAGACTGACGCTGCCCAGGCAGCTGTACAGAGTGCATTTGCTGTTCTGTTGTCTCAGTTAATAAAGGCTCAGCAAACAAAACAAAAAGATTTTGTGTTGGAGGAGAAGGAAAACGGATCAGGAAACGAAATGTCATTACAACTCAGGCAGCCTCCAGAGCCTGCCACTCCTGTGTCTGTCAGCCGGGACGACGTGGACTCTCCGGCGCCCAGCTACCCACATCTGATCAAGTCGTTGTATACGTCTGCAGGTACTGCAGGTCTTTGTTGATAACGGGCAGGTACCTTGAGCAGTGGAGATGTAATAGTTTGGGGGTAAAGAGCTAACATATTAACCGAATGAGTCTGTGTGAGGATAGGAGAGATGATTGAATTGAGTTTGTCGCATTTTACGTCTGGATCATAGAATTCGTGTCTCGCTGTAACAGGTGCCATGCAGACAGAGCAAAAGATAGTCCTTGCTCTAAGAGGTACACAAGTGCTGGTAGTATTTCTGATGAAACAGTTACACTGATCGTTGTTCTGGGGTTTTGGGGTTTTCTTAGCGGTGTTTGTGGTGGAGAAGACAGCCTTCTGTAGCAAATTCTAACTGTGTGTTTAGATAAAGCCTATTTTGGGGAGAAGGTATTTTATTTTTGCTTTTAATGCTGACAAGAGCAATTTATTGTCAAGATCTGTGGGTAGTTACCCATAACTGTCACTAACACACATAGTTGAAGGTTTCCATTGGGGTGTACTAGTATCTTCCTTAGTCTTCTCAAAGCTTAGAGCTCTGTTGTGATCTTTTTGGATTGCTTTTTCAGTTTTATGATGTGGTGGTTTATGTCTTGGTCTGCGGGTGTTTGCAGCGGTTGAAAGGAATATTCTGAAGTGGGTTGGGGGAGGGTTTTTTTGGGTGATGTTTTTTTTTGTTGATGGTTTCTTTTAACCTTAATTTTTGTTGTTCCTTGATAGCATGGCCTTTTGTCCCTCAAGACTTTTATCCTTATTTATTGATCCCTCTGAATTTTCTGGTGTTTATGTATTGCCTGAGTTTTGTTTTGGGGTTTGTTTTTGTTTTTTTGTTTTTGTTTTTTAAGGAACTTGTACTGTTTTTCTTTAACTGCTTGGTTGGCAATCTTACTTTGAGGAGAAACCTATATCGCCCTCCTGAGTCAAATGAGCTGTTGCTTTCTCCAAAATAATCTGTCCAACTACCAGTAAATTTAATAAGTTAATGAGAGTCGAAGTAACAAACTGTGTATTTTTCCAGGAAAGAGTCCTTTCCTTTCTGTTATTGTTACTGTATATTTTTATTCCAGCGCTTTTCTTTTTCATCTGCTTAGGTCAAGAGGATTTGGTTAGGCAGTCTGAGATGAGGCTTCTAAACCGAACACCCGAACAGGAGCGCCCTCGGATCTTGCCTCCAGACCAGCGTCCCCCAGAGCCACCTGAGCCTCCACCTCTCACTGATGAAGACCTTGATTATCGGACAGAGAACCAGCATTTGCCTATAACTAACTCTTCAGGAACAGATCCTCACGCAGGAGTGAAAGCAGCTCTTCTGCAGCTGCTTGCTCAGCATCAAGCTCAGGCGACAACGGAGGAGCCAGTACAAACGAGCGTGGATTATCAGGCTAGAGACTCCTACGTAACAGGGCCAGACTACAAGGATAACTTTGGATCATCTTCCTTCTCATCTGCCCATTACGGCAGTAGCGATGGAATAGGAAGCGGATCATCAGGAGCATTAGAAAGGAGGAGCTTCCTTGGAAACTCGGATATTCAGTCTTTGGATAACTACAGTACTGCTTCATCTCACTCTGGTGCTGCCCCTCCTCCGTCGGCCTTTTCGGAGTCCTTTCCCAGCTCAGTAACTGGCTATGGAGACATTTACCTCAACACTGGCCCCATGCTATTTAGTGGAGATAAAGACCATAGGTTTGAGTACAGCCACGGCCCGATCCCGGTCCTGGGGAGCAGCGGGGACGCTTCCGCGGGGCCGGAGAGTTCCCACACTTTGCCCGCAAAGATGCACAACTACAGCTACGGAAGTAACTTACAGGAAAATCCCAGTGGCATCAGCCACATGCATGGACAGACTTGGACTTCTCCTGCCCAAGGACCCGGCTATTCCCAGGGATACAGGGGACACATTAGCACATCTGCAGTGAGAGGGCGAGGCAGAGGATTACCGTATTGAGTATCTGTTTTTCCTCAGGCACATCATTTTTATCTGGAAAAACTTTTTTTTTTTCCCTAGCTGCAGTTTAAAGCAGCAATTCAACAGACTTGAATAATGTTAATTCAACAGCTTTATTTTTATGTGGAAAAGGGTCTTGCATACAGTAGGAAAAATTAAAAATGCTTAAAACTCATGCTGTCTGAAAACTAGATAAATTGATTGTACATGTTCACAAACTCTAGTTCTGAATTTTATTTTGTATTTTGGCAGTTTTAAGTGGATGCTAAATTTAGGAACATCAGCTTTTTATGGCACTCTTTCAGATCTTCTGAACTATGCACATTTGTGCTTTTTTTGTAAGTTTGGACCAACTTTTATGTAAAAAAAAATTTTACAACAATCAAAGCAGGGCACTGATTTATTTGGTATTTTTCTTTTTACAGAACTACCTTTAGTCAAAGGTCACTGTCAGTCTTTGCACTGCTTTCAGTGTTATTGTGGAAGGTGTACTTTGTGCTCATTTCAGATAATAAAACACAACCTTTCTCTTGATGCAAAATTTTATAAATATTTGGTCAATGTTATTTTTTTTTTTCTTTCAAGAAAAAAAAAAAGAATGGATGTTCTGGTAAAATGTTCTCTCCATCTCCCAGGCTTGTTTATATAAAAACTGTTTTACTTGAATGGTAAGTGCCTTAACATGTAAGCTTAAGGTCTGCAAAAATTTGGAAGTACTTTATAGATCGATATGAAAATAATACCTAAACCTAGGTAGTTAACATGAAAATGCAGATAATAATAGGCGACTCAAATAGGTCATAACCTTGTGCTGTTTACTTCAGGTGGGCCAGTTATTTAGAGAGCTAATCTTGATGAAATAATCATTTCCAAATTGAATTAATGAGAAATGTTGAAAGTGAGGAGAAGAATGAAGAGTGTAGTTTTTCCTCAGCTCCCTCTTGGAGTTGTAGTAAGTGTTTTAGTTCCTCTGCCAAATAAACTCTACTTTGTATGTCCTTACGAAGTGATGAAATAGTTTTTTTCTCTTAAATGTCAACAGCAGTAATTCCTTTACTTTGTGTGAAAAGCTGACACTGTCGTCTTTTTACCACCAATACTGCATCATAGGAAGTAACCAAAGGAAAAATGACCAGTATTTAAAGCAACAGCAAAATGTTTGACACTAGTTCTAATTCTCTGTAAACCTGTGATTGTGCCAATTAATTGATTTTATATCTGCTATTCCACAGAACATTTTAAGACTGGAGTCGAGTCTCTCTGAACAACTGATGAAATGGCTGTAGTTAAACTCTTACCAAGAGCCGCTCCTCATATTTCATATTAATTACAACTTCCAGCATGTATTTTTTCCTTTGACAACAAGTGGTCTCTCTCCTGCAGAGAGGAGGTGTGGTTATATTTTGCATGTACTTAAAAGAATGTTTTAAAGCCCATATTGGAAACAGTTTTCCAACTGATTATCCAGTTGACAAATCGGTACCTTATGTAACTGAGTGTTTAATTATTACTTTTTAAAAAGTAAAATTTCTACTTACACTATTACAAATGTAGTCTTGTCAGTGACTTTTTGGATTTTCAGAATAGAAGCCAAAGTTGTTGGTGGTTTGTTTTGGTTTATATATGGCTAACTACCACATTGTAGGGCATGGAGAAACTCACTTCGCTGACTACACAGCGTTTGAGGATCTGGCAAATGGGAAATGGAGAGAGAATCATGCTGCTTACGATGTCCCTGCCAGTCTGGCTGTTGCCTTCACTGGACACAGTAGAAAATCCTGCCATCTGAAAATAAAAGCGGCCTGGTCAGAAACAAATACTTACGGCCTGAACAGCTTGTGCTTAAAAACTCAAAAGCTTCATGTGTGAGTAACAGCACTGCATTCGATAGTTTTCCTTGAGTAAGGACACCCCCATAGCATTTTTATGCTAGTAAAACTTTCAAGGCAAATATCGTTAGTGTCACTTAGATATGGACAGTGTCAGCTAAGGCTTTTTGGTTACTGATCTTAAAAAACCAATCCCACAGGGATACTCACAGATTGGGGTTTTTTCCAGAATCAAGCAAAAGACTTTCAAAGCTTTTAGGCTGTTGCTTTCACTACAACTGTGCAGTCTGGTGTTACTTTCCTGCACTTCAAACGTAACTGCAGGTGATAGTTGGCTAAAAAAGCAGGTAAGTTCAAAAGTAAGATCAAAGTAGATCTCAGAGGACTAAATGATTTGACTTCCAATACAGAAATGCAAGGAAGAAGTTGTGTCTCCTACTTCTTCCCTTTTGGAGGTAAATTTCCCAAGTCATTTACTGCAGAGAAGTCAGTCCCCTCTGCATATGTAAACGACTGCAGTTTCCATGCGGGCTGGCAGTACTCTGGTGTTGCATTGTTCCACCGAAATGGATTTCGGTCTTCGGCCATGAAAAAAAAACAACCCAAAACCAGCACAACTGTGAGGAGAGAGAGAAGGAGACGCAATAGACAGTTGCCTTCCAGATGAATCAGAAACAAAACTCTGGCACGCTGTGGCAGATGCATACTGCACAATGACTTTTCCCCAAGTTCAGGTTAAGGATCACTAGCCTGTGACTTTGAACACTGTATTTGCCTGGGACAACAGTGTTGGGATAATTTGCAGGGAAAGTGAATGTATTTTCCATATAGGATAACTGAAGGGAGTACCTTCTCTGCAACCCAGGGGATCTTCTTGGCTCTTTCGCTGGCAGCCCTTCCTCCTGGGCAGGTAGGGGCTGTGCAGGGGTAAGGAGCTCTGCCCTCCCTCTGCAGGGCAGCCCTTGGGATGCGTCCCAGGAGGACCTGGCCCCACAGCCGTGCTCCCCTGGCCCTGGAGTCGTGCCTGGGCAGGTTAGCAGCCAGGGAACTGGCCGGATCTAAGGACCGTAGGTCCGCACTTGTTTGTACCGGACCTGAGTATTATCTGTCAAAAGTTCTTTTGAATTAAATCACGTGACAAGGTGCTTATGTCAGTTCAGAGTTTTACCCTTTTGAACAAATGTCGCTCGGCAGAGTGAGCCTGTATTAGTTTGGCATTTTACATCATGTGGCTCTTGCATTTTTCATGCAGCAGTAGACATTCTGAAAACCATGTTATTTTTCTGTGGAGCCGTGGCTTTTGTTACTTCCCCCCCAGCCCATTCCTTTGGGTTTACCTTTTCTGTGCTGCAATTCCAAAGTGTGCTGCAGAGACCTGGACACTACATCGAAAAGTAAGTGTTGTGTGTTTGTATTTCTGAGTAAACATAGGAAAATACTGTAATCATGGACTATCAAGTAGCAAGTACTTCATTATTTATATTACGTGGTCTTTAGCCATACCACGAGGAAGAAAACGAGCACGACTGGACTGCTGTGACCATGACTTAAAGTGCTTAGGCTATTCTATTACTTAAAATCAGCCAAAGGAAAACGAAACAGCTTTTATCATGGATCGCTGGTTGTTGTTATCTCGAACAGAAGGAGCAGTGTTAGGGAAGAGGTGTAAAAATACATGTATTCCTGTATGTTAATATAATTTCTTGGAAAAATAATTTTAAAATTACAAACTTTTATATTTTCTTATGTTTCCATAAAACATGGTCTATGTTAAATTTTCTCCATACCACGGTAGTGTAAGGTGCTTTCTAGAAGCAGAGGCGATAAGTGCTGTCATGTAAGTTCTTAGGGTTTGGAGTGCTGTGCTCCCGTTTGCTTGATGCAGGAGGCAGTTTCTGTTTTGGTGACATTTACGGTTGGATGAGTTTAATAGGTAATTGTGTGGTAAAGAACTGAAGTACTGAAGTAACATAGGATACCTCTTGTCTGCGGGCAAATTAGATCTCGGACCATGAATTCTGTTTCCAAGAGAGAAAAATCTCAGATGTATTTCTTGCATTCTTCTTTTCGTTAATAAAACACGCAAGTGTTTTACATACAACATTTCTCCAGTCTATTCTGTTACACTGTTTTTTACACTGGGGAATTTTGGCTATTTCCCTTCTTGATAGTTTTGGGATATGTGGAAATGTGTCATGAAATTAAGGAATCACCAGGAAACTGATTTGAATTCTGTATTTAAAAATGAAATGACCTTGGGTTGACTTAAAATCGAACTAACTTTTGCTTATCAGGGTGAAGAATACTTTATTGCAGGAGTTATTTCAAGACAACCTAATTTAAAATAATCAAACTGTTATGCTTCAGCTTGCTTACTCTTTGTTATTTTAAGCCATTTGTATATAAAATGTATTGTGCGGCCTGTAAATAAAATACATGAACACTTGGAAGTCTTCCATTGTTTTCCCTCTCTGGTTGTCGGATGGCATTTCAAAAGAACGTTGAGTTAAACTGAGGGTTTTTTTTAGTATCCGAATGAATCTAATTTTCAGTGAGTTACCATTCTGCAGGTTACTAAAAAAACCCATTCACCACTCCAGTACTTTTCGAAGGAAAACCGTGGCGAGTGGCCGTGCGAGTGCTCGTGGCTGGAGAGCGTCTGCTGGTGAGTGCAGGGGCCAAGGCACGGCCTGGGCCTCCAGCGAGCTCTGGCAGCGCAGCAGAAGCAGGTTGGGGGAAACGGGCCCTTCCCGCGGGGGGCAGGTGCTGCCCTTCCCAGGACCTGCCGCGGCAGTGGGTCGGGACAGTGGGCTCTGTACAGCGTGACCCGTTTTCTTAGCGCTGTCCAAGCAGAGGTGCAGTTAACGTTCCTCACCAGTGTCTCTTTAAAGGGAACGGTGTGTGCATTAGGAATAACAGGAAATCGAACCCAAAGAGCCAGGTATTTCCAGTCTCTGGCTATACTGCTGGTGCAGCGCTGTAAATCGAGCGTGGCTTCAGCCAAATGAATGCCTGAGGCTTCTCTGCTTTTTTCCTGCTTACCAGCTAATCTCATAAAATTGTTCGCATCTTTCAATAAATATGCTTCCATCCAAAACTAAGGCACTTGCCACGTGTTCAGTACTCTTTGAACTCCAGGTGGGACAGACTGCTGCTGTCGTCATTTCAGTAACTCGTCATTGATACCATCAGAAGATGGGCGGTGAGGGTGCAGTAGGAAGTTACGGGGCCAGCAGCAGTTATGTCGGCATTGTTTGACGTTAGGCTGGCAAAATGCATAGCTGTAGCCCAAAGCATTGTCTTGCTGTGGAGACAATGCTTTGGCGGCAGCTACAGTTAAACGTGGATTTTACTTCTGAAGACCAATTCAGGCCGTATCACGTAGGATGTTGACTTACACAGTGCAGATCAGACGGTTGTGTGAAACTACTTCTGGTTGTCCGCTCTGTTTTTCTGGTGAAAGCTGCTATGGTGACTAGTGATGTGACAAAGTGGGCTCTGGTTTATGCTGGAGTATGAACCTGTAATGATTTGGGAACCTTGCTGCGCCCCATTCATTCTGCCATTAGTGCCACACGGCCATACCAGGCTGTACAAAATAGTACCAGTAATAATTCTAGTAGGATCTGCATATGAATCTCCATCCTCAGCTGCAAATAAAATACCCTCAAGTGAAAGAGGAGAGATGCACATAACTGCACAACAACAGCCT